TCTTTCTCACTCCCCAAAACTTTTCTGTGGGACATGTGCTTTGAGTCTGAAGTGGAGATGAGGGTTGGAATAAAAGAAATTAATTGGGCGCTAAGGGAAAGGCCTTTGGGGGGGTGACCTTCTAACCTTGGGGTGTGGGGGCTGGCCACCTCCTAGTTTCAGTTTCTGAAAGGGTGTGAAAAATCCTCTTCACTCAGACAGAATTCCACACATTCCAAAACACGCCTGCATCCGTCTGCCTTTCTAAGTTTCAGGCCAAAATCCTCGAGGGCGTTTTGAGTTCTTTCTATCACTCTTTTCTTGCTTCCCAAGTTCAATATCACAAAATCCATTTGGCTCTGCACCCAGAATATTTTCTGAATCTGATCTGACCACGATTCCCTACTCCTACCACCATGATCCAAGATTAAAGCACCAGCATCTCCTGTTTGGTCTATACAAGCCTCCTGACTGGGCTTCATGCTTCTGTCCTTGAAATCAACAATGCAGTCTTTACTGGCTGCTAGCGGGCCTAGGGGCAGAGCCCACAGGTACAGTGGGTGGAGCCAAGAACCCCAGAGGATTATTCTCAGGCCTGGAATCCTTACCTGGAAGATTCCAAGGACAAAGGACCCTGTGGGCGATTGTCCTTGGGGTCGAAAAGAATTGGACAGGACTGAGCGCTTGAGCACACACACTGGAAACCTAATGGAATGTGCCCTGCTGGATGTCTAACTCACTTGGAGCCAGTGATCCCTTTATTTCCCACTTGTTTCTCCCTTTCAGAATGGCAGTGACTATCACATACCTGTCCCACTATTGTATTCTGGACGGAGGAGGAAATGGCAACCCACTCCAGTATTCTTGCCTGGAGAATCCCTGGACAGAGGCACCTGGTGGGCTATAGTCCATGGGAATCACAAAGAGTTGGACACAACTGAAGTGACTTAGCACAGCAAAGCACATACCTGTCCCACTGTTGTATTTTGGGATCAGATAACTTGTTTCCTAGTGCATAGATAAACAGGTGGAAAATAATTTTACCCCGGGATGGATCATAACCAACGTCTCATCTGTTGCTGATTTAAATGACAAGATTTGAGACTTTTGAGTTGATGATGTAATGAGTTGAGATTTGGGGGGAACTGGGATTGTGGTGAATGCACTTTGCAGATTGGATGGATGTGCTTTTTGGGAGGCAGAGGCCAAAGTTTAGGGAGTTGAATGGTGACCCTCCACAAAAAACATGTCCTCATGGAACCTGTGAGAGTGACCTCCTTTGGAAAAAGAATCTTTACATTTATAATTAAGAGATGAGATCATTCTGGATTAGGGTGGCCCTAAGTCCAATGTCAGACTTCCCTGGTGGCTTAGAGGGTAAAGTGCCTGCCTGCAATGCAGGAGACCCGGGTTTGATTCCTGGGCTGGGAAGATCCCCTGGAGAAGGAAATGGCAACCCACTCCAGTACCCTTGCCTGGAAAATCCCATGAACAGAGGGGCCTGGTAGGTTACAGTCCATGGGCTCGCAAAGAGTCAGACATGACTGAGCGACTTCATTTTCACTTAAGCCCAATGTCAAGTGTCCTTGGCAGAGGCTTGAGTCCACCCTTGCTGGTCTTTGCAGGTCTGTTTGCTTCTGAGCAACTGGACCTGGGAAACTGAGAAGTGGGTGGTGGCTGAAACAAACCTCTTAAGGTCTTCTGGCATTGTCATGGGGTCCTACTGATCCCATTTTGCATGTTCCCAGCCTCTGCTCCCAAGACAGTATCCACTTGAGTCAACTGTGGGTGGAAACAGGCACACAGGTGCCCAAGGCCAGGGAACTCCCGCCTTCTCCTCCAGAGAAGGGCTGGGTTGGCTTATCTCTAACATAAACCCCAAACATTAGAGCACCAACCACTTGGTTGACACCAACCACTCCTCATTTGCAAGTCTGCGATGTCAGCTCAGTTCTACAAACACACCTGATGAGCTTCAGTTGGATGCCAACACCTGCCAGGTATTGTGAGATGCTGAGACCATGAAGGTGATGATGACATGGTCCTCATCCCAAAGAGCTCCCATTCCATCAGGGGTGACATGCTGGGCAAAAGCGATACTACAGAGAAGGGAGTATGAGGATGTCATGAAAAGTCTGGATTTGGTGTCAGATAGACTTGAACTCTGGCCCTGGTGCCTCTATTTTTTTTTTTCTTTCTGTTTTAGCTTTCTGACCTAATGCCAGTTACTTGATCTTTCTGTATTCCAGTTTTCTAGATGGTGAGAAAAGCATCATAAGGATACCTATCCCATGACTGACATCAAGATTAAGTGAGATGAGATATGGGAAGAGCTTAGCGTAGTGACTGGCACATAGCAGAGACTCTAAACGATAGCTTTTCATCCTAATAATAAGTTATGGTTCGTACTCAACTTCAGAGAAACCCACCTCCTGGGTTTTGTATCTGTCATGCAGAGCGTAAACTGCATCCCCTCTGCTGCTTGCATCAAACTCAGCATCACTGTGGTTGCAAGTTGCTCTGGAGTTGCATTTTGGAAGCAAAGTAGAATTCTTGGTTTTGAGATTGCCTTTCTTCTGGAATTGTCTCCAGATTGTCTCTGGAGGTGCCCCTATGTCTCTGAAGATGCCTCTATGTCTCTGGAGGTGCCCCTAGGTCTCCTTGAGGTGCCTCTATGTCTCTTGGAGGTATCCTTAGGTCTCTTGGAGGTACCCCTAGGTCTCCTTGAGGTGCCTCTATGTCTCTTGGAGGTGTCCTTAGATATTTGGAGGTGCCTCTAGGCTCTGGAGGTGCCTTTAGGTCTCTGGAGGTGCCCCTAGGTCTCCTTGAGGTGCCTCTATGTCTCTTGGAGGTGTCCTTAGGTTTCTGGAGGTGCCTCTATGTCTCTGGAGATGCCCTTAGGTCTCTGGAGATACCCATAGGTCTCCTTAAGGTGCCCTCTAGTTCTTCTGGAGGTTCCCCTACATCTTTGGAGGTGCCCCTAGGTCTCTGGAAGTACCCTTAGATCTTCTGGGGATGTCCCTAGTTCTCCTGGAGGTGTTCTTAGGTCTCCTGGAAGCAGACATGATACATCAAAATTTCCAACTTTATAAATAATTCCTGTACTTCGCAAAAGGAGTAATTCCTAGGTTATTTTGCATTGATATCTAGGTGTGCTTGGCTTGGGTCCCATTGCTAGGTGGTCAGCAAGGAGTTCTTGAGAGGAAGCAAGGTTAGCTGGGCGATGGGAATGGAGGGTGGTGGCAGTACTTCACCCCGGCAGCAGCCAGACAACACCCAGGCAGCCCTTTGGAATGGATACATTGCAGGCCTCCAGGCTACACCCTCATCCAGGATCAATCGGCTCCTAGTGAAGCCGGCCTGGCCTTTGCCCAGAGAGACTCTGGGTGGAAATTCCCAGGGCCATCTGTCTTGGCCAGGTGCTTGGAGCTGCTCTGCCATTGGCTGCCTGGACCTGCTCATTTGCATGGCAGGGGTGCTCCCTCTCACTTGTTTTCCCCTCACCAGCACTGGTGCTTTACCAGGAGACCTTCTCTGACTCCCCAGACCAGATTGGCTTACCCTGTTCCAGCACCTTGGGCTGCTGTCATCAAAGTTGTCATTTTGCTTTTGTTGGACTGGTTCTGCCTGCCCCACTGAAGTCTAAACTCTAGGGGGAAAGGGACAGTGTCTGCAGAGAATGAGTGGTGGATAAATCAACTTTGAGCCACTTGTCCTGGCAGGCAGGCTGTGGGTCTCAGTGTTACCACCACCATCATCATCTCAGCAAAAATAAAGCAGCTTAAAGTTGTCAAATTGTGCTGTGTTGTCATTGCACATAAGTCACCTCATATAAAGTCTTCCTGATTATGCTGTGAAACACTTAGGGGTCATTCTTATCTCAGTTTTTTCAAGGATGACACGGGTCAGGGGCTCAGAACCAACACTTGGAGTGGCATCTGCGCTAGAACTAGGATGCTGACACCCTTGCCCTGCAGGTGTCCCCACGTGCAGTGCAGACGGTGCGAGGAACACGACAGACACAGCTCACCTCACGATAAGGACACTCCCGAGTTTTATTTCAATCCTGATTGCCTCCAGGACAGTCAGTATCTCTCTACCAATAGCATAGCTTGAGCACCTCCCTAACACTCTCTCACTTCCTGTTTTGTTTTGTTTTGTTTTGTTTTTTTGCAGAAGAGAGGGTCGGCCAAAGAGCTGAGGGTCTTTGGCACAAGACAGGGTCTAGTTAGATGTCGGATGATGCTGTTTTGTGCTTTCGTTAGGTTTACTTCTATAGTTCTTTTTTCTTGATGGCTCATGAGACTGGTGTCTCTGTAGCTGATGCCATCTCTTTCTAGAGTAAAAATTTTGAGGAAAACAAGTTACAGGGAAAAAGGAAGAGGGGAAGTGAATAATGGTGAATAATGGTAGGGTAGTACTTGCTGGTAAGGTAGGTATGGTAGGGGAGAACCGCAGTGGAAGAGTGTGTGTGACAACCCTGAGAACTGGTCTTGCCTGCTCTGAATGCCCATCCCCCGTGCAGACCATAGGACACCACTCAGCCCTGATTGCATCTGTCTTGCATTGTGCTCGAACAATTCCCTGTCTTTTCCTTCATCTCCCTGGCAAATCACTGGCTTTTAAAGTGCAGAGACTGTGTCACACTCCTGTCTGCCCCTGGGCCCGAGCACAATGGTCCTGAGTTGCCAGGTGATTGATGGATTCATCTCTTGCGGGCTTAACAGCGATCACATGACTGTACCTGACTTCAGCATTTGACACAAATTAATCATTTATTCATGGTATTGAGGAAAAGGCAGACAGGGCTCAGGATTTTCTTACCACCAGACTCTCCAGAGATCTCATTCCTTCTAGGTCTGTAGTGGCCACAGCAGGGAGTGGGGACAGCTGGTCTGCCATGGGGAAATTTGAGCTGCTGAGGTTAGACTGCATGGGAGGGAAGCAGCCTTTCTAGAAAACTCGATGTGTGACCAGCTCTGGTAAAATAAGGATGTATTTGTATCTTATTTCTTCTATAGAATAATAACTCCAGTAGGGATGGTTGCTGCAATGTTTCACCAATTAGTAAACATTGATATTGCGAGTGAAGACGCAGACACACTGCCTCAGAACAGGAAGTCTCGGCCATCCAGGTGCAGGTCTGATTCAGGTGAGGCTGACCCAGGGCCTCAGAAATCACCGTGGGCCTGCTTCTCCCCATGGCCCCATCCTGTCTTCCATGGAGGTGGCTTCTCTTCTCCAGAAGCCCCAGCAGTGTTGCCCAGCTCATCACTGTCTCTGCTTGGGGTCACGTACCCATCCCTGAGCTTATCACCCATCCAGAGGGTGGGGGTGCAATGTTTGGGTTTCAAAGTCAAACAGACCTGGATTAAAGTCCTGATGCCCCTCTCCCCTGCTACCGTGAGAGCCTTGGCAAGTCATTTCCCCATTCTGTCTTCAGTTTCCTCTGTGAAATGGGGAACAGCAGTATCCACTTGGAAGCGTTGTTAGGATTAGAGGAGAGAATGCACAGAAGGAGCTGAATGTATTTGTGAAGATGCTACTAAGTGTCAGGAGGCCCTGGAGTAGGCATTGAAGCCCCAGCAGCGAATAAGGACATGTGGTCCAGGTCTTCTAGTAATGTCGCGGGGGCGACAGATACTCACCAGATCGTCACAGAAACAGGCATGTGGTCACAGCTCTGAAAAACACTAAGAGGGACAAACCCAAAGTCTCCCCAGGAGCATCAGGAAAGGGAGACCCCCACCCAGCTTGAGAAGGCAGGGAGATTGATTGACCACCTTCAATCTGGGATCAGAAGGGTAGATCAGATGATGCTATGGGAAGTAACTAACAGGCTGGTCTTGCTGCTTTTCCCAGAAAGAGCCATGTTCATTCCTGCCCTGCCGTTCTGTGTGTCTGTAATGTTCTCCCATGTCTCTGCATGGCCTGGCTTTCTCCTTTAGCTCTGGGTCTCCGCTCAAAAGTCCCATCCTCAGAACAACCTTCCTTTCCACTCTGCTCGAAACAAGGGCCCCTCTGATAAACCATAACGGAAAAGAATATATGCATGTACCACTGAGTCACTTTGCCGTACAGCAGAAATTAACACAATATTGTAAATCAGCTATACTTAAAAAAATTTTTTTAATAAAAAGAATAAAAGAAACAGGACCCCTCTCCCTACCCTCTTTGTCACTCCTACTCCTTCAGCTATGCATTTTTCTTCATGGCACTTATCCCAACCCCAAATCACATGAATTAATTGTCTCATGTTTCTTGGTTATTGTCTTTCTTACCAATAGCCTGCAGACACCATGGAAGCATACATCTCATTCAAGTCCTAATATTAGTACCTAATAGGATAGTGTCTGGCTCCTGACAGGTTCTTCATGAATGGTTGTTGAATGAATAAAGAAACACACTCAGGACCTTTTTATATGCAATTGCACTCTAGTGCCTATGGACTTCTCTGGAAACTAAGAATTTAATCCTAAAGGTTTTTTTTTTTTAAAAAGGCAAGCTATTTCTTTTTCCTGCCCCCAATCCATCACCCCTTCCCTGTGGGAGAGTTTGCTGCCACTCAGGGCTCCCTGGCTCTGAGAAGGTATCAGCTCAAATCCTGGCCTCTCTGGATTTCTGAACTTGACTTACGACTTCCAGACTCAATTCATGACTCTGGCTTAACTGGTGTCCTACTGACGCGGCTTTCTCTAGTCTTTTAGAAGGAAATCATTTTTATAGGAGAAAACGTGGAGCTTATTAAAAACATGATTGTGAAATTTCTTTCAGAAGAAAATGCATCCATGCCATAACCTGAGGGGTTCTGTAGAGTCCTTCTTTATTCTAACTTTGGAAAGTTCCAGAATCAGGCGACCCCCTTTAGAATTCTGACCTGCCCCCTCTCCCCCACCAAAATTTCTTCTTCCCCTCATTTGTTTTCACATCCCTCTCACCCTTGATCTGCTTATTTCTCTTGAGAGTCTAGACAACTCCTCAGGTGTGCGGGAGACCTAGATGAGAAGAAAAGTGTGTGACAAATCAGGGAATTTAGGCAACTGGAATGTGTCTTTTTTCCCTCTGACCCTGTGAACAAAAGTTTAAAGATTTCCATGGAAGGAAATAAAGTCAGCTGTTTGTGGGAGGGAAAAAAAACCCAAACCTCAATAACAGTGACTCACCTGTACTCTACAAAGGAAAGAAAGTGAAGTCGCACAGTCGTGTCCGACTCTTGCCACCCCATGGACTGTAGCCTACCAGGCTTTTCCATCCATGGGATTCTTCAGGCAAGAGTACTGGAGTGGGTTGCCATTTCCTTCTCCAGGTGATCTTCCCAACCCAGGGATCAAGCCCGGGTCTCCTGCAATGCAGGCAGACGCTTTACCCACTGAGCCACCAGGAAGACTGTACTCTATAAATTCCTGTATTTTTAATCGCCGATTCTGATGCTTGGCAATGTTGGCAACTTGGGTTTAGAGCCCAAGTTTGTGATCAATTCAGCCAACATTTGCTGGTTTCTCAGGGTCAATTTTACCTATCATTTTAAGCATGTTAGAGAGTTTAAGTTCCTGCCTGCTGTTGGTTGCACATGGGCCCAATTTCACGCCCTTGACCCTGTGATCTTGCTCTGTCCTCCTCCCCAGTCCTGGGGTTTGGCCAAGGGAGTTGCTTTGGCCAATGAGATGCTCACAGACATGGCGTCAACAGAGGCTTGAGAAGGCTCAGTGTGTTGGGTTTTCTTTCTCTGGAATCCTGTCTACTCCTGTGGGAAGGACCTGCTGGGGCTGGTCTGCTGGCATTAAGGATCATGGGAGCAGAGCTGAGTCATTTTTGTTGTCTCAGTCAAAGTCAAGCTGGCTCCCCAGCCATCAGATGACCCCCAGATAGATGAGTGAGCCCAATAAGATTGCAGAGCTGCTTGGCCAATGAGTGCTACCGTATGGGGGATGTTTGTTATGCATACTATTCTATCACTAGATAATGAAAAAACCACCCTCAAAGGACTTCCAGTGGCTCAGGAAAGAAAATTCTGCACACAACTGTAACCATTATAACTACTCCACAGCTGGATAGCATGTATTAAATGCTTATTTATTTTGCTCAAGCCCATTATTCAATACTTCACCTATAGTCTCACTGAATCCACTAGGTAGCTACTACTCTTATTCCCTTTTCAAAGATACAGAAGCTGAGACTCAGAGAGATGGAGTGAACTGGCTGAAGTTACACAGCTAGGCAAGGTTAGGAGGAATCAGGATTTCAATTCAGTTCCATTCAACCCCTTGCCCACAGTGCTGCAATGTTTCTTAACTGCAGATCTAAGTATTTCAGCAGCTCTAAAAGAGTTGGAAGGTATTCCCTTTAAACAAGCAAATCAGAACTTTCTAGAAGCGGCAACATTTGGGCTTTGAAGTGGATTTGGGCAGGATTTGTGAGTGTTTTGTGAATATTTTTATTCTGCAAACAGATTGAGACATTCTGACAGCTGCTGGAATCACATTTCCCAAATGCAGTGATTGGTTGCCTTTGCTGGACATGGGAACTTGCCCCTATCTGAGCTTTAGAAGGATATAGTTTGTGAGAAATTCCTCTGATAAAAGTCAAGGCTACTTCAAGGTAGGTAAAAGGAGCAGGTGTGTTTGTGGCATGTTGACTTAACTTGCTCAAAAGTCTCCCTCCCATTAATCTGCTGGGATGCCTGAAATTCCCACATTTAGGCAAGGTATTGGAGATAAGATGAGAGTGGGTGTGTGTATGTGAGTGGTCTGAGTAGGGGCTCCTAGGAGAGGGTGGGAAAGGCATGAGTTGGAGGCATTGCTGAAGGAAAATAGGAACTGAAATGTCGACCAGATACTCCCAGACTAAATCTACTTCCCCTGAGAAGATGCTGGAGAAGGTGGAGCTGTTCCATCAGGCAACAGTCCCTCTACAACTTGACACTTATGCGAGGCAACCACGAAGCTCTGGGTTGGCTTTGTATTTTATGGTTATATAAATCATATATATCATGCCACTTCATAGTTCATGTAGTTCCCCCACCCCATCCTGTGTAGTGTCTGCTACCACAAGAAATGGATTTTGAGCAGGCACTCATGTCTTTTGCCTGTGGGAAGTATGGAACCTCAGAAGTTCTAGAAAAGCTTTAAATATTTATTTTGATAGCTGTACTTGTCCCCAACCAGTCAACTAACATAATGTTCTTCTACGTTCTTTTTTTTTTTAAGTTAAAATTTTTTTAAATTTTGTATTGGGGTATAGCCAATTAACAATGCTGCGATAGTCTCGGGTGGACAGCAACGGGACTCAGCCATACATATACATGTACTCACTCTCCCCTAAACTTCCCTCTCATCCAGACTGCCACATAACACTGAGCAAAGCTCCCTGTGCTATTCAGTAGGTCCTTGATCATTATTCATTTTATATATATGCTACTCTTTCTTGAGACAACCACCGGTAGCCATATCCATCACCAGTTGCTACCTGTTGACCCCCCACTCCTGTACCAGTCGTCTTGACAACTTACTCCAGCATCACAATGACTTGAGATGAAGCATATCAGGATGCTTATAACTGCCAGTGGCAGAAATCTAATTTGAACTGGCTTTACAAAGATGGGACTCTAGTGGCTGATGTAGGTGAAAAGTCCAGGTTGTCATGTTGGATCCAGGGGCTCAAGACTTAGTCTTATCTCCCTACTTCTGCTTTGTACCTCTTCTCTCTTTGTATTGGCTCTGTTCTTGGACAGATTTCTTTTTTTCTCCCTCATGGTGACAAGAAGGCTGCCAGCACCTCCCAGCTTCCATCTGGTCCTCTTAAGCAAGTTCATGGAAAAAGAGAAGAGTTTCCCACCCAAAGTCCCAGAACTGAATCTCATCGACTCTGATAGGACTGGGTTTACCTCATGGGCCTGTATCTGAACCAATCTCTGTATTTTAAGGGTTAATTTCCTCTTGCTGCTGTAGCAAATTACCTCAAATGTAGTGGCTTTTAAAAAAGCAAGTTTATGATCTTTTAATTCTGGAGATTTGCCTGTCTCAAACATGATGTGATGCCCTCATTGGTTAATCTAGAGATACAAGCCTGGCCTTGGAGCCCCACCCAAACCATATAGTGTTGCAGGGGCTGTTTTCCAGGGGAAGATGCAGTCTGAACCAGAGCTGAGGGATGGGATGCCCAAGGTGCTGCAATAGCAAGCGTCCATAATAGGAAACAAAGGAAAGATTCTGGTGCTCTTTTGAACCAGTTTTTGTTAGACTTGTCATCAGATTCCTTTTAGCCCATAGAGCTGGCGCGGCTGAAGCTTGGAATGCATTGTGATCAATTTATTTCCCTGAGAACTTTATGTCATTTTTAAAGCAAGAAATTTAGAGCTTGGTATCTTCACCAGTGGGTCTCAGTGACCACATGAAGCTGAGGTGGTACACAGCTCAGACTTAGACAGCATGGAAAAGCACTTAATTATCTGACTTCTGGGCAAGCGCAAGGTTTCTGCTGGTGAGGCTGGGGAAATGGAAGAAACTCCAGGATAGTGGAAAACTACACAACGTATTATGTTACTCTCAGTTAAATCCCCTAATTTTAAGGGAAAACAATCTTCAAAAGAGTCATAAAGCACATGAAGAGGCATCTTGAGGGGAGGCTTATCTAGATAAATCACAATATTCTTAGCAGCTGGATTTTGAGTCAAAATTTAAGTGAGAGGTACAGCCTCAAAGATCTAGCTGCACATCTACCAGCTTGGAAAAAGCAGAAAAATAAACCAAAGGACCTTAGCCATACAGTTGGCTATGGCTCAGAAGTGTCTGGACAGATGACTTCTCCTAGAAGCACATCTGATGGCAGAGACAGCAAAGGATGACTGAGGAGGGCTGGAGACTCGAGAAAGGGAGAAGGACCCTTCCTCTGTGTTCTCTGCAGTGGAAGCACACGATCACCACTCCTTCCATGACCTTTTGTCAGAGATGATGGGAATAAAGCCACAAGTTGAATGGAGAGGCAGTGACTTGCTGATGACACACAGAAGGAAATGAGTCTGATTATAAGGCCCGGGTATGCGTGGTATGAACTCTGGAGGCAGCGCTGCCCAGTTATGAACTCTGTCCCCAGAATTGGATGGAACTGAATGTGAATCCTGATTCTTTCAATTAACAGCTGTGTGACTGTGGAACATTCACTTTGACCTTTCTGAGCCTTCATTTTTAATCTGTAAAAGGAGGATTAACGATGGTACAAATTAGCATTAGCAATTTACAAGTTAGCTTTAGGCAAAACAATAATTAAAGCCCTCACCACCGGTTTGTGAATTATATGTTTCCTTTGCACACAGTGTAGTCTGGAGCCCAGGAAGACAGGTGGTGTCCATCCCACAGTTTTTTCAGTTGAAAGCAACAGAATCCCAAATAAACTTTAAAAAACAAGAAACTGAGAGCTATTTATGAATGGAAAGTTCAGGAATGGTGTGGGTTTTAGGCCCAGTTAGATCCAGGGGCTCAAATCAGGTCACTACCCAGCTTCTCCAGCTCTTGACTCCATTTTTTAATTTAAAATAATTTAGAAAGAAATTTATATTGCTACCACATGTGCCATTAAAAAAAAGATAAATATTAAATTAAGTGCAATGAAAGCAATGTCACAAAGTCCTAAGTACAACAACAACCAAAAAACCTCAAACAACCCAATTAAAAAATGGACATAGGACTTGAATAGACATTTCTCCAAAGAAGATACATACTTACATGCAATAAGCACATGAAAAGATGCTAAATACCAATAATCATTAAAGAAATGCAAATCAAAACTCTTGGGTTGGCCAAAAATTAATTTGGGTTTTTCCATATTATCTTATGGGACCACTTCATAACCATTCAGATGGCTACTGTTTGAAAACACAGACAAAAACTAGCAAATGTTGGGGAGAATATGAAGGAATTAGAACTCCTGTGTACTGTTAGTGGGAGTCTAAGATGGTATAGCCATTGTGGAAAATGATATGGTAGTTACTCAGTGGCTCAGCGGTAAAGAATCTGCCTGCAATGCGGGAGACTGCCTACAATGAGGGAAACGTGGGTTCGATCTCTGGGTCAGGAAGAGTCCCCCGAGAAGGAAATGGCAACCCACTCCAATATTCTTGCCTGGGAAATCCATAGTCAGAGAAGCCTGGCAGGCTGCAGTCCATGGGGTCACAAGAGTTGGACACGACTTAGCAACTACAGCACCACCACCAAAAAACTTTAAATGGAGTTACATAATAATCCAACAGTTCTAGTTCTGTGTATGCACCCAAAAGAAGTGACAGTCAGGTCTCAAAGAGATGTCTGTACACCATGTTCATAGCAGCTTTATTCACATTGCCTGAAACATGGAATCCAAGCATCTACTGAAGGATGAGCGGATAAGCAGTCTATCCACATAATGGAATATTATGCAGCCTTAATAGGGAAGGAAATTCTGACACCTGCCACAACATGGCTGAAACTTGAAGACATTATGCTATGTGAAATAAGCCAATCACAAAAGGACCAACATTGCATGATTCCACTTATATGAGGAACTTAGAGTAGTCAAAATCATAGAGACAGCTTCATTAGAGAATGATGGTTTCCAGGGGCTTGGGGAGGGAAGGATGAGGAGTTAATGTCTAATGGGGATCAAGTGTTAGTCTAAAATGAAAAGAGTTATGGACATGGGTGCTAGTGATGGTTGCCCAAACTTATGAATATATTTCATGCCACTAAACTGTATACTGAAAAGTGGGTAAGATGGTAGTTTTATGCTATGCATATTTTACCCCAATAAAAAAAACTTGGGGAAAAATTCCTATCTAGATTCTGTGGCCTGCCCAAGGCTCTAGGCATGAAAATGAGAGAGACTGTTAAAGACACACCCAACTGTGGAGTGTCCTGGGCACAGTCAGAAGGACTGAAGCAGTAGAGGAAGGAGGACCTTCCTCGCCTGGAGGGGACGCTGCAGAGTGTCATGGTGGGTACACTGCATCACGGCCCTCAGCTGCGGAAGGACCTGCCTCTTCTGACCCTGCATCTGATCATACTTCTCTCAGCTTTGTCTAATGACTCCCAGTCTTAGCCCTGTGTCCCTGGCCCTCTGTCCCTGGACTTCCCTCTCTCAACTAGATTGGAGGACTCTGAGGACAGGGCCAGCACCATGCTAGTATTCTGTAGCTGCATGTACCTGGCAGGCACCCAGGGTGTGTTGGTTTTAGTCCAAGTTGTGGAAGGCAACAGAACCAGTGAGTGGTCCAAGAGCTCCTGTGTCTGAACATACCAGGAAACCACCTTCTACCCCTTTTCTCTTTTTTGGCTGATTAATATATTTTCTATTTTTCCAGCCATCCTACAATCCAAGATTATTTTTATTCTGTAGGTGATGGATATTCTAAGTCCAAGGAGAGGGATATAATGAGGTGATCCAGATCCTAGCCTGGTAGGAGCAGAAGAGAATCCTAGTCATGGGCTTTTCTAGTTTTCAAAGCGTGGAATACAGAAAATGAAGCAGAGGCCCCTACAGATTATTTGCCCTGTTTGGTGACAAATGACCCTAAAGGAGGGGCTTTCCAGGTGGGTGCTAGTGGTAAAGAACCCTCATGCCAATGCAGGAGACATAAAAGACATGGGTTCAGTGCCTAGTTTGGGAAGATCCCCTGGAGGAGGGCATGGCAACCCACACCAGTATTCTTGCCTGGAGAATCCCATGGACAGAGGAGCCTGGTGGGCTATAGTCCATAGGGTCGCTAAGAGTTGGATCCTACTGAGGTGAGTTAGCACGCAGGCACGACCCTAAATGATGGTGCCTTTCCATCTCCATATCCTGACTGGGTAGAATGAAAGGAAGATAGGGTGATGGAGAAATTTAAGCATCAGCTCAGTTCTGGGAGGTTGGGTACTTTTCTAGTGACTGCAGCTCTATAACAAATTACCCCAAACACAGTGGTGTAGGTGAGTTGGTGATAGAGAAGCCTGGCGTGCTGCAGTCCATGGTGTTGCAAAGAGCTGGACACTACTGAGCGACTGAACTGAATTGAAGAGTGGTGTAGAATAACCATGCATTATGCCCATGGGTTCTGTGGGTCAGAATTCAGACAGGGCATGGGGGGGACAGCTAACCCCCAGTTGGACATCTTCAAGCCTTGAGGCGCCAGTCACCTCAAGGCTCATTCACTCACATAGTGGTTAGTATTGGCTGTTGGCTGCAAGGCCTCAGTTTCTCTCATGGGCTTTCTTTCCGTAGGCTTGCATGGGCTTCCTCCCAACATAGAGGCTGTATCAGAGGATGGGGATCCCAAGAGAGAGGGCACGTGGATGCTGTATCAACTTGCACAACTCTGCTTCCAAAGGCACTCAAGTCACTTCTGCTACTTTCTACTTTTTCCCAAGTGGGCCATTCAGGCTAAAGGGGAGTGGGGTGGTATTTAGCTGTGTCTTCTGGGGGAAGAGTGTTAAAGGATTGGTGGACACTGTCAAGTCACCACAAGTGTCCTGAGATATGAGAAGTGATTCCATGACTTCAGACCTGTTTTTCTTCCCCTGTGTGGCCTGCAACTCCCTGCCCTGCCCCAGGTTCCTAGGGAAAGCAAACTCCCAATCAGTCAAGCAGATGGAACAGCCAGCAAGCAGCCAAAAGGGAAGTGCCAGATGCCACCTGGAGTGCTGCCTCTCTTCCCTCTGCTGGGGGAACTCTGGCCAGGGAGGGGCTCTAAGGGCTTCCTGATGTGTTCAGAGGTCAGTAGTCCAGGGCGAAGTCCACAGGAAACATTCACTGGTTCATTCATTCATTCATCCACAAATCTTTCTTGAGCAGTTTCCAAGCACCGTTCTCAGCACGGAGGCTGTTGAACAGGGAGATTAACAGACCCTCTCGTCTAAGCTGCTCAGCCCAGGGGACAAGGTTCAGGGGAGCCGGCAGAATCCCCTACACGTGAGGATCAGAAGACCACCTTGGGCAATGAGGAGAGGAACCTGCCTCTCACCGGAGCCAGCACAAGGGTCTGTGAGCGAGCTGGGGACACCCCAGGACCGCTAACCCTACATCTCGGTTGACTTTGCTCCTGATTGCTGCCCACACCCAGCGGCTCTGAGCTCCTGGGAGAGGCTGGGAGACGCTGCCGGTGCCCGTGAGTCACGAGTGTAAAGTACGCCCAGGGCCTTGGCAGGCAGGTCTGTGCAAGGGTAAGGTGTCATTAGGTGAACGCTGACAAATGCTGCTTTCTCGAACCCTGGAGATAAAAGATAGGTTTCCCGCGCAGCCTTTTATCTCTCCCACTGTGTTGGGGTGGGAGCTGCAGGTCCCCGGGCAGCGAGGCAGCGAGGCAGCGGGGTGGGGGTGCGAGCGGGAGTGCGCGCGTGTGCGTGTGCGTGTGTGCGCGCGCGTGGCCTTCCGGCAGCTGTCCCGGCCCCCACCCCACCCCACCCATCGCACCCGGCCCTGCGCGCCGCCCCCACCCCTCGTCGTGCTGGGTGCGCCGCGGGCCGCTGCGCGCCTAGCCGGCTACCCAGCGCCAGGGAGGCGACCCCCGTGCACCCCGGGTTCAAAGGCCCCCGCGCTGCAACTCCAGCCCCTCCGGGGGGCGGGGAGGCGAAAGGGGTGGTACGGGAGCCAGAAAAGCCCTAACCCACAGCCGGCAGCCCTGAGCCGTGATGGGCAGCGCGCTCTGAAGTTTGTGACGGTCGCAGCCGAGTCCTGGCCGCAGCCCGGGACGCGGCGAGCCAGCGGCCGGCCTCGAAGCATCTGCAGTTGGAGGGTGAGGCCCGCTGTGCCCGGCCCGAGCGCCCTTTGGCGGCCACAGGCGCCCGTCCTCCGGCGCGGTGCGCCCGCGCCCGAGCGGGGTTCATGGAGCTGGGGCTGTGCTTCCTTTTCGGGCTCGCTGTGACCTCCGCCGCAGGTAAGCGGGCTGGGCGGCGCGCGTCTCCTGGCGCGAGCGCACACAAAAGGACCGCGGATCGGGGGCGCGGGGAGAGTGCCTTACCGGGGGAGCGGCCTGGGGGCAGGCTAGAGGGCAGAAGCTGAAAGCACGGACCACCCCGCGGGCCCGGGGGGTTGCAGCCCACACGCAGGCAGGAGACCTGGGACCCGGGACCGACTTGGTCAATTTTTCATGAAGTTGGGAACTTTTCCAAAAGTTTGCAAATGATTCAGAAACTGTGCAAAATGATTGCAAAGTGTTCAGAAAGCCTGCACAATGCTTGCACGTTTTCAGTGGGTGCAGATTGCCTGCATGCTGTGCAGTAAGTGAGAAGAGCTCCCAAGATTTTCACAAAGTGTGCACGCAACTTGCAAGCTTTTTAGAAACTGCTGCACATAGCTTTGCAAAATTTTCCGAACATTGGGAGTAGCTTGGAGACTTAACAAAAAATGCCCTTAGCTTGCAAACTTGGCAGAAAGTTTGGTTGTCCCCTTCCCCAGGTTCTACGGGATGGTGGGTGTAAGGGTCTGCATTCCTAGGAACTCAGGAGCCCCTCCATCTGCCTCCTGCAGGATGGGTGCCTCACCCCCAGTCTGGGGATGCTGGCAGGAGCAGCATGCCCCGGGCCCCCTCTGCAGCCAGATCAGAGGCGGACACCAAGGAGACTGTGGCCACCGTGGCAGCCTGGGGTCCAAGCCCCAGAAGCCCTTGGCGGGAGCAGGGACCAAGTCAGTTTGGGAAGCAGGGGCCCGAGGGGGTCCCCGGGCACCACCGAGCCCGGCGCTGTACATGTTTTACCTACAAGGACAAAGAGTGCGTCTACTACTGCCACCTGGACATCATCTGGATCAACACTCCTGAGTGAGTCAGCCCTGGGGTGGGGGAGTTGGCTCAGGGGGAGGGGAGGGGGGGCTCCTGCTAGGCCCCTCTCTTCACACTGAAGGAGGACCTGGTTCCTTCTGAGCCCGGTCAGCCCAGAGCCCACTTGGCACAGCCTTCAGCCCTCCTGCCAACCCAGGTCGGCTCTGCAGGTCAAGGGTGTGACTCTCATCCCCTCTGAGGGCCTGGCCTGGGAGAAACCCAAGCCCAGAGTGTCTGATCTGGTGGAGAGGCGAATGAAATGAGCCAGCCAGAGGGATTAGACACCTGAGAAGTCCCTCTGGGGGGAGGAAGCCTGAAAGTTACTCCTGCCCCCGGGCCATGTGGGTCCTGCCCCTCTGCTGACCCTGCCAGGCTCCAAGGAGTTTCAAATTCCTTGAAAGCAGCCTGTTCTCTAGGGATTGCAGGGGTGAGCTAGGCAGGACCTAGTGAAACCTCCCCCACGGGGTGACATTCCGTGGAATTCAGGCTCCTTGTCTCCTGGGTGGTGAGCCCATAGTTCCCCTCTTTCCCATGTCACCCCAGCACCCGACCGCTCCCCTTCTCTCCTCCAGTCTGTAAGAACTGTCTTACAGCAAAACAGATGGTGCCACCTGAGTCCCTCCTGGAGTCTCCTTAATGTAAAGTTCCCCCTCTCCCGAGGCCGTGGGTAGTGACTCAACTCAGGAACCCCTTCCAAAGAAACATCCTCCTGCAAACTGTGAAGAGGGCTTGACCTCAATCTGGTCAGCAGCCTTTGGAATTTGCCTTCCTGGTCTCTAAAATCCAGGACTTGGACCAGATGTCTAGGTGTCTCTGGGTAGTCTTAGGATACCTTGGGCATCCTGCTTAGCCTTTCCAGAGCACTGGGCCTGGAGAGGCAACTTTGCTGCAGTGTTTGGGTCCCCTTGATCCAAGGGTTCCTTTGTCCCCGAGCCATGTGACCTCTGAGCACCCTGGGTGACAGCTTGATAGGCCGCACATACCTACCTTGTTTTGCCAATACCCTGAGGATGAAGTACAAAGGAGATTGAATCTGGGGGGCCGGATATCTTTCAAAACCAGATCATGAGTCCTCTGAGTACATCTGGTCTGGAAAGTCACCCTGCTGTCCTGCATGGCAGGCAAGACTGGCTCCACCCAGGAGCCTGGACACATGTACAAGGTCCCGGCTCAGAAAGACCCTCACAGTCTAAAGTGTATTGTTGATGTGTTGAAATGCTTAATACTTTTTAAATTCAAGTATAGTTGATTTACAGTATTGTGTTAGTTTCAGGTGCATAACACAATGAAATGCTTAATATTTTTTGAAGCGAGGGCTCTAGATTTGCATTTTATCCCAGGCCATCTAATAAAGAGCTGACCCTGATGCCAGAACTTGCTTGCTGGGTTATGTCTGGTCAGCACACAGAGAGATGACCAGGCCAGATCTTAAAAAGAGAGGTGTACTGGGGAGGGACTCCTGGACAGGCTGCCACTGACAGCCTTCTGTTAACAGACAGCGGTCAGGGTCACCTTCTCCTGCAGTCTCCATCACCCTGACACTTGTCCTCTCTGATTCTTATCCTCCTGGCATCGTCCTCTGACTAAATTAGCTTCACAGAACCCAGGGCAACTTTGGCAGGAATCCCAGGCTGTGGTTCTAGAAGGAGAAAGAAGAAAGCAAAGCCAGTTAGGGGAAGGGGACTTTGTAGAAGACAGGAGGGGAGAAAGGAGAAGATATTGGGAGACCACCTTAGTTTTCTGCCTGTGGCCAAGCTCTGAGCACTCGCTGTATGGAAGCACTTGCCCCATCCCCATGACCTGGTGGGAATCCTATCTCCCCATTCTGAGCTGTCATGTATGACCTGAGGTGAAGCCATGGGTCTTTGGCTTTTCCCAGGCTATCCAACTTGCTAATGTTCTCCTCACAGCTTGATTTACCTCTTCCCTTCTTTCCAGACCCTGATTCATTTTAAACACTAGAGGGAAGGATTAAATATGGTGTTTGAGAGTTTCATGAGCTACCCTGGGAAACAAGAAAATGACAATAGCCAGACTTGAGCATTTTAAAGTCAGACAAGCAACATAACCTTTATACAGAAGATGTTCCCAGATGGTCTTTCTCTGCCTTCCTTTCTTTCCCTTCCTTCCTCCTTCGCTCTTTCTTATTGTCTGTTCCTGTATGGGCAGCTTCACTGGCAAACTTTAAAATATCTTGGACAAGATTGCAAAGTGAGGGAGTGGGCTTTAGGGAACTTGGGCCTTTGGAGAAATGGAAGCATCTGAAAATGACTGGGTTGAACTAAAGGGCAGGGGGATGCACGCTGAGGACTTTTCCAGGCTCTGTTTCCCACCCCCTCCCCAACCTATGGTCATAGCCCTACATTGAGGGCATATCTCTGTTGGCTGTCACCCCTGTTCTTCAGCAGACCTTCCTCATCTCCTGAGACTTCTCCAGGTGTGATTTGCATCCTGTTCCCACCACTGGCTATGCCAGGAGCCCACAGGAGTCTGGGTCTTCACGCCTCAATTGAGAGTCTGGAACTTTGGGTGATTTTCAGCTCCGGTGTCTTTCCTTCTACTGCCTTCCAATTGCACGAGGTAGAGGCGACAATCCTGCTTTATCTCAGAATGATGCTTGGGAATTTGCAAGGCCTTCTTGGAGAAGGTCATTTGAGCTGTGTTTAAGGATTTGCGAGCTCCTTAAGGGGGGATGTTGTTCTTGCATCTCGTGTGTAAAGTTAAGGCTCTGGAGAGCAGCTGCTCCCAGAGATGTTTTCCAGACATGAGATCCAAGTTCTCTGGTTTCCCCACATCCTTCTAAGCACTTAGCTCTTCCGGATCTGAGTTTGATCCTTACCCAGCACATAGTAGATGCTCAGTAATGCTGGTCTTTGCTGTCACTGAGGTTCTGTCTGCAGGACTTTCTCCCACAAAGGAGGTGTCCCATCCCAGAGGTCTCACATCCTTAGAGACATGTGCAGGAATGTGGATTTTTCCGGGGCTGTTGCTCATAACTTCCATTGTTTCCTCCAGAAGATCTCAGGCCCCAAAGAGGAATGAGCCAACTGCATCTCGGGCAGCTGCCTTCTTAGACCTGGGGAGGAGGCGGAGACGGCTGCCCGCCCACGAGGCAAGGGATGTTCATGGCTCTCCTTGGCCCTGTTAGGAAGCCACTGCACCTCCCCCCATCCCCAGCAACCCCACCATTGCCAACAAAAACAAAACCCCACCTCAGAGAAAATACCCATCTCATCTCATGGTCATGGAAAATATGCCAAGAATAAGATAATGAGAGAAGTGGGGACAAGTAGCCCACATGCTTACATCCCTACATATTCGGGGCTGTTTCCATGAGAATACTTCAAAAACAGGAGTGTCCTGTGACGTGGTGAGGGATTGTCTCTGTTGGGGTCTCCAGAAAGATGGAACTAATAGGATGTGTATATGTAGATCTCTTTGTGTATATAAACACACTACACACACACACAGAGGAACTGATGTTGCAGTCTGCAGTCTGCAGTCTGAGGCATCCCGAAGGCAGAATTCCCTTCCTACTTAGGGCATCTCACTTCTCGCTGTCAGAGCTTCACCTGATAGATGAGGCCCACCCACATTATGAAGGGTTACCTGCTTTACTCAACGTCTACTGATTTAAATGTTAATTGCATCTAAAATATACCTTCCTGGCAACATCTAGACTGGTGTTTGGTCACAGATCTGGGTACTGTGGCCCGGTCAAGTTGACACATACAATTAACCATCACAGAGTTCTCAGTGCTAACCACACCCACAGCAGGGCAGCCCCTCTGCACCTGCTATCCATCCACCTGGCCGCAGAGTGAAACCACTAGCTGTGACAGCCAGTGAAGCTGCAGGGCCCCCAGCAAGGAGCCCTGCTCAGTCTCCCCCACTTCGTTCCTGAGAACTGATGCTATCTTTTAATCCCTCCAAGGATGTAATGACAGAGGCACTGTGATGCTGTGACAGTGGCAGTGTTTCCAAACAAAAATCTGAGCCACATGGTCTGACAAGCAGGAATGTATTTCTGGAAAGAGCAGTGCAGGATGTTTGGAATCACGGCTGTGGTGGAAAATCTGGGCTCTGTAGACTCATAAGAAGACTCCAGCCCCAGGAGCTCTGCCCAGTGTCCTGTTTGTGATTCGCTGCGTGGCCTGGGGGTGGTACCACCCTCTCCCAGTGCCCCAGGTAAGGTGCAGACATCAGTGTGACTCTAGGATGGTGACCTAACAAGGTGACTAGCCTGGCCACACTGACTCAGCCAGCAGGAATGATATTTTTCCCCAAAGAAGAGGTGTAAAAATAATCATAATTATTCCATATATTCTACCACAAAAAGGCAACAATTCAACAGTCATCTTTGCCCCTCCTGTTGTTCAAGAGAGGTATGCCACATGTTTCTAGGGAGGGGACATTTTATGTTTGAGAACATCCCAGTGGAATGGATGGATATAGTTCTCCAGCCTCCCACTGATGTGGGACCGGCTGTCCACCCACTGTGTGATCACAGGGATCCCAGTAACAATCATGTGACCTGCAAGTCAGGACTGGGAGTACTGTTGCTGGCGATACAGCTTTTGAGGCAGAGGGGTAGTCTTTTGAGCATGATTATGATCTTGCAAGCAATGGCCCACACTGATGTTGACCATGACTCCTGTGAGTAAAGACTTGTGAGGATGACATGAGAGAGTGTGTGGAGCATTCTCAGCACAGTGTCTGAACTCAAGTGGGCTCAGTACCTCTGGACCACAGGACCATGTGGATAAGTGTACAACCCTGGGGGCTGCATAATGTTCCCTGTCGCCCCACACAGTCTGTGGTTGGAGGACCCTGGGACGAAGAAGCTCAAGTCCTGCTGAGGTCGGCTTCCTTGGACCCTTAAACCATGGTCTTACCCAGCTTCCTGCAGTAACACTGAGGAGCTTGCACCCGGGTACCCCAGTTTTTCCCTACCCCATGCCTCTTGGTGGGCGATCTCTTAGCATTTGTTCTGCATCAGC